CCCAGCCATGGGATTAGGGAGTATTTTCAGAAGGGTATTGGCCTGTGTTTCAGGAGTGAATGGCTCCACAGTGAGCAGGGCTGAGGAAAATGTAATCGAGGCACAAGGCAACGCAGGGACCTGGAAAACTCTTTACCCTAAGTGTTCCTCAGGCTTGTTTGACCATGGAAACTGTTTTGAGAGGAACATTTACTTAGGTCACCAGGATCTCCTCAGATACCTTAGGGAATTCTCACTTATATTATTCTTCATTAGAATTTTAACAGCAGATGTGCTAATATTCTGGAAATTAACTTGGAGCTACACTGATAATGCAGAAAGTGCTATAGAGGTGCCTAGTCCTTTCTCCGTAATGTTTCATCTCCCCCAACGTGAGAAAAAACCACCATCTCTCAGATGTTTGAACCTTCTCAACTCTCCCTTGAGACAGGAGAAAATAGCCCAAAGTTCCCACTCTAAGAACATCCTCGTACTACTGAAAGTAATGTGTTCAAATATGGGCCCAAACCAGCAAACTTTAAAGTGAGGTCACAATGGGCAGACACAGGACCAGATGCCACCCCCCTGCCCCGGATAAGCAAGAAATAGTGCTTTAAAAAGACAGGTCTTATATTTTAAAGTTTGAATGTGTTCCAGGACTCCTATAGAGTTTATTGTGCCTCCACAGACAATCCTCTGAACTCACAGGAAAGAGTTATCAGAGGTTTGTACTGATTTCTAGACTGCCACCTTAAACCTCTTCCCCAAGAACAAGCCAGTAATACAGAACCTGATTACTTTCTGAAAAGGAGAGATGTTTCTGATTAATTCAGATGGTTTTAGAGGATATTCCTGGGAGGGCATGTGATAGTTCAATTATAACCAAAATATTAGTGCTTTAAGGTAGTTGGGAGGATAATGGGGATATTTCAAACTCTTCTGGGATGACAAGGCCACTTGTGCCAGTGTTGTGTCCAATGGTGGCCCACAACCTTTCCAACTTACAAACTCACTGTGTAGATCTGAGAAGCCAGGAATGAGTGACCATGTCTCATTTCTTCCTTCATTCAAGAACCATTAATTGAGCACCTGCCCTGCAACAGGCTCTGATCAAGGTGCTGGGACCACAGAGATGGAAGACACAGTGTTCCTGCCTCCAAAGGACTCACAGTTTTCTAGCAGGAGAAAGAAGAGATATGTGACCCCAATAAAAGTTATCACCCTCATGTCCAGTTTAAGACAACTAGCAGCAGGTGCCACTGTCAACTCAAGATAGTACAGTTACTAGGGGAAGGAGAGAAAAGTCATCTTTAACAACGGCACTACCCTTCTAAGTAAACACAGTCATAAAGAAAGGAGTAGCTGAGACTACTGCTGGCTTAATAAGCAAAACATTTCACCCGTTTTGGAATAAGCACCCTTTGCTATGAGAGATCAGTGTATTGTCACCATTGTAAGAAAATGAACACCAACAGAGAGAATCTTTTTTCCTACATTATGAAAAATTCAGAATAAACCATCAGTTCTTCACTAACACATATGCTTTACTTCAGTCAAGAACAAAAGAAACAGGACAGTAGCAACTCTGCCATAAAACATGAGCAGTTGGGTTTCTCAAATCTATTTTGTGAGAATGATTTTTATCAGTAACTATCACCAATCAAAACAGAATAATCCAAAAACAACCTACAAATCCAACTTGACAATAAAAACTCTGAGAGTCAACTTATCTTCAGGCAACCAGTCATTTATTTAACTCAACAGCCCTCAGTGATGGCTTCCCCAGCCCAGGACGTGTATCATCTGCGTGGCAGGCTCGGGTGGTACAATGGCAGCTCTCCAAGAGCACGTGTGTTACCCCAACACAGTTGGGCATGTGATAGTTCAATGAAAGCCACACAGATGGAGCAGTAACTAGCATGGCCTGCAGGAGCCAGGAAGTCTTTACAGAGCAAGCAACATCTTAATCGGGCCTGGGAGGACAAATAGGAGTTTGCTTGCCAAAGGAACAGTGGGAAAGGGGCAGAAAATATGGAGATACAGGAGGGGCATTCTGGGTAGAGACATCAGCAAGGATTAAGGCATGAGGGCTTCAGAGAATAAGGCCTCTTTCGAACACAAAGTCACATATAGTCAGAGCGGGGATCTGCAGGGACTGATCAAGAAGCAGAGGCTGCTGTCCGGTCATTGCAGGCCTTGGCTGCCATGCTGTGAAGTTCAGCCTCTGTGAGATGTGGGAAGCAAGGGAGTGGCAAAATTCTATGTGTGTTTTAGGCCAATGTCTTCTGGGACAGGTGAGGAAAGAACTAAGGGGAGGCTGGACTACATTGTGAGGGTCACATAGTTATTTCCCCCAAGGTCTCTTGCTCAAAGTAATTGGCACAGGGCAGCTATTCAGCAGGAGACGAGCCTGTACTTGACTGTCAAAATGAGAACAACTCCCATCTGACTGATTTTAATTTGTCAAAACCTCTGCTGAGAATGAGGAAATGAAGAGGCAGCAGCCAAAGCCTCTTCCCACTTTTACCTGGGGTACCTGCTAGGTCTCAAGTGTCAGGGTCTGTTTGGGTGAGGAAGCAGAAACGGGCACCTCTCCCACTGGTGGTGCAGGTGACCTCTACCCTGTGTGGATAGTAAGTTACTGGAAGCCAGAGCCTGCCTTTCTCCTTCAGGATGGACCCTGGGCACCCCTCTACCTGCACTCCTCCCGGAGAGGGGACAGCATTCTTCCCTGTCATCCCTGTCCCAGATTCTCCTCTTTCTGTGTCCAACACAAAGGCCACTGTTTGAGAAGTCTGCCATGTTACCCTGCCATTCAAACCTTGGTTCAGCTGTGTGAGGCTGGGCCAGTAACCCAGATTCTCTGGGCCTCGATGCCCTCTATCAAACCAGATACTAGTATGTATTATTAGCAGAGTAGCTGGGAGGATCAAATGAAACTACCACACTGGCAAACACAGGATGAATGCTTAACTGTAGATAACCATCCAAACTAACATGTTAACATTCACCACAAGCACTGTATCTATACCAGTGCATTTTTTTTTAAAGATTTTATTTATTCATGAAAGACACACAGAGAGAAAGAGACATAGGGAGAGGGAGAAGCAGGCTCCATGCAGGGAGCCCGATGTGGGACTCGATCCCAGGACTCTGGGATCATGCCCTAAGCCAAAGGCAGATGTTCAACCACTGAGCCACCCAGGCATCCCTATACCAGTGCATTTTGTTCTCAGGACCCAACAAGATAGGTATTTTAAATTTTTCCATTTTACAAGGGAGAAAACTAGAGTATAGAGAAACCGCCAAAAGTCACACAGCTTGTAAGTGGCAGAGGCAGGTCTCGAACACTGGCTTTCTAGCCACGGAGTGTGAGCTCTGAGGCATGATGAGATGCTTCTCCGTCGCACCATTTCCCCTCCCGAACTTGCTCATGGGCTAACTGTGACAAATCTTAAGTTGGCTTATTTCTCATGTTTCCACAGCAACCCAGATTGACTCTAAGCTCCTTGAGGGCAGCAACTTTATCTCTTTATCTATCTATCCTCATCGTCTTGTGTAATAAATAATTATTTGCTGACAGATGATGTGACTCATCTGCTTACTATCCCCCACAAATGCTTCTACTTGTTGGCATTACAGTTTCAAATCTGTCTCACTAGTGCACACAAGAGTTAATACAGCAGGCCTAAGACTGCCCTCCCGGGGAAGGGCCTGTGTGCAGGCTCAGCCCTGTGCTGGCGTCTGGGAACTGGGACTTCAGGAGGGTAATGTGGTTTATGCGGAACACCTGCCTTCCTTCTGTGAAGTCTGGAATTTGTGCATGTGCCAACTAGAAGATGACCCTGTGACCAGCCTCTGGCTGGTAAGTTTCCAAAGAGCTTTCCCAGTGGGCATTTCACACAAGTTGTCACAAGTAACCATCCTGTGTGACTCCACTGGAGGAGACTCTTGGAAGCCCACTCCTGGTTTCCTTTGTACATCCCCATTCCCCTTTGTTGTTTGCTCTGCACCTTTTCACTGTAACAAATCTCAGCCGTGAATCCCGCAAGTCCTCCAAGCACACCATCTGCCCCTAGGGTGGTGCTGGGGATCTCAATAGTAAGAATTAAGAAAATTGGTCCCCAGGTAGTATGTTCTGTTACCTACTGAAAGGATGCCCTAAAATCTTTCCAAGGCCAGTTTAAAAGCGGTCAAGAGTTGAAGCCTGGACCCAGCATTCCCCGCTCATTTAAGAATCCTATCTCAGGCTGGCTGACCAGCCGCAAGGGAAGTAGTTTTGAGTCCCTGTGTTCTAGAAGCTGGCATGCACCCCCCCAAGGGGAGGATGGGTCAGGAACAGACACATGCACCGGCAGATCCTGAAGTCTCGCTCTGTTGCTTTTTGATTATGGGGGCCTTGTGCAAGTCACTTAACCTCCTGGGATTTTAATGTCCTCACCTGCAAAAGGGGATTGACAACAGCACGTGGCATCGAGTGAATGCTCTGTTAGAAAGGAGGCACATGACGAAGATGACCCAAGGAATGCCTCCCAGGGGAGCACTGGCTGCTGTGCCCCAGCTTTTGCCTCAGGAAAACACTTGAAGAGGGAACAAGGAGAGGCAGCAGGGGCAAAGAGAAAGACATAAGATGGCTAAAACTGCCAGCCACCCAGCATTATTAACAGGAGATGGGCTGGAGCACAGATTCTGAAATAACAAGCAACCTGGGCCCCAAGTGCAGCTCCGTCACCTCCAGACTATGGGACCTTGAGTGAGTTACCCAGCTTCCCAAGTGGCAGCCTCCTCATCTGGAAAATTAGGATAAGAATGGTACCTGCCCCACAGGGTGGTTGGGAGCTAATGACAAATCTAGTACAAATCTTTGTGCCTGGCACAAAGGCAGTGCTCCGTAAGTCCTAGCTACAGCATTTTGTGAAAAAATCCAAGTACCATATGTTGTAAAGCATAAGGACTCTATAAACATTAGTTGCTATCATTACTATTATTAGTTAAGGAACACCAGCAGAGACGATACTTACAGTCTTTTCTTATCCACCACTCGTTTAACTCGGATGGCTCTTTGTTCTGAGTAAAGTTTACATACTCCTGTTGTAGGGGAAAACACCAGAACAGAGACCATTTAAAACCGCTTCTCAGGCAATGGTGTCATTAAGTATAAGGAGACACTACCGTCTTCAGCTAGCAAAGCTAAATGTTCTATCATCTATCATGAAATACCACATTTGACCTTTAAGATAAAACGAAATACTTTTTAAGTAATCCTCGATGAAATCCAGAACTGCACTCCTGTGCTCCTTCACTTGCTGGGAGTGTATCTCCTTGTGGGCTGAAACAGAAAAGGACAGCAGTCAGACGTTTGTGTTCAATTACACAAAGGAACAATTCATCAGCTTCCTCAGAAGTTTCTTTATGGAAAGTATTTGTAAAAATACAGCAATAAAACAAGTCTGTGTCAAATGACATTACATTTTTAAAAGAGGAAGATTTATTGGGCTTCACAAGAGTAAAAGATTAAACCTGCAGAAAACTAGTCAAAGAATTTATGGTTTATTCCAGCACGCAGGGATCATAGTGGATGCTGCTGCTTCTTGAGAGCTGACCCCTTTTGTATTAACAGCATCCAATGCTTAAGCTGACCTTCAAGTAACACGTTTAAATCAGACTCAAGCCCCACGCTCCTCCTGCCTGTCTGGGCTGTTTTTCAGCTTGGAATGACTTGTCTTCCCCGCTCAGCCACCCCCATTCTAAGGGCCCTTTACACACCAAGTCAAACCTTTCTTCTCAAAGAAACCTTCCTCGACTCTTTAGCCACAAGGATGCCTTGCTTCTGAAAACTATCATATCTGCTTAAGGTCTGTGCCATTTATTTTGGGAGGACAGCTCCCATTTACTGAGAGGCCAAGCATCTACTACACGCAGGCACTCTACAGTACTTTACATATATTACTGCTAATACAAAAGGCAATCTGGATGCCAGTTTACACAAAGAGAAACTAATAAGGTTCAGATTCAATAAGAAGCCCAAGGTCACATGGTTTGGTGACTTAAATGCTGATTTTAGTCATAAACACGTATTTTTAGGTTATTTCAATGAATGTATAGGCCCTTAAGGGTAGGGGACATGAATCATGGTTTTACTATTGGGCAGCTTAACCCATGATCATGTGATCATTCTGCATTCTGCAGATCCACGAGACTGTACACAAAATTCTGTGAGTGTGTGTATTTCTCTGGCAAGAAGGTCTATAGCTTTCATCAGACTCTAAGTGGCCCATCAGGGCTGTGACAGAAGCTTCCCAAATACAAGTTGGAGTCAAGAACACAGCAGCATCTGGCCACTTTGAGCTCTGTGCTATTTAATGTAACAGCTATCTGCCTAAGCACATTACGAAAGGGTCAAGGAAGATATGCAACTTGGGAAGCTATCTCACTGCCCCAGTAACAATGAGACAGCAGTGAAGGAGACGTGATACTAACAACCCTAGTGCCAGCTATGGCCCTAAGCATGCACTGAACACAACTGCATTCTCCTAACTCTAAGAGATACACCCTATAATTGTGTCCACTCTTCAGATGGAGAAACTGAGGTCCAAGGTGACTGAGTGACTTGCCCAAAGCCATATGGGTAGAATGTGGTGGAGCTTGGGTAGAGCACCCAAGGATCCAGAGCCCAACTTTTTTCAGCGTGCGGGTCTGCTCCTCAAGTTTCATACTCCAGGTAGAGAGCTGAGAGAGCCCTCTTCTGTTCCTGTCCACACCTCCTAACTGCCACACAGAACACAGGGGTGTGCACAATCTGTCTGCTCTGGCCTTGTATCCTTAGGAAATGTCTCGTTGTGTATGGAGAACTCCTCCCCACCTCCCGCATCCCACCCATAGCCTGAATCATGGCCTTTTCATTAGTTTTTATAGCTGATCTTGAGAAAAGAGGAATTTTAAAGTTTTGAGACCTAAATCTGAATAGAAACACACAAGAGACCTCCAGCTGGGCATGCCCTCTGAACCTTGTCTGAGGCTTCACAAAGTCATGGTGGGCCGGCCATGTCCCTCAGAGCACCTCACCTTGTGTTCTCAGTTGCTGAATTGCTTCAGAGCAGGTCCTCATGAACGTCTGAGCATCCTGGTCTATCTGGTCTCGCTCTGTGTCTGTCATCCTTCCATATTCAGACATGATATGGCTTAAAAAAAAAACAAAAACAAGTGGGGAGGGGCACAAAATTTTAACGCAGCAGGAAATGACCACAAATGTTGTCTATGTGGAGCCTGAAGGGAAGAGAAAGCTTTGCTATCGACATGACATTTACGCTGAGACTGGATGAAGAGGAACTGGGCAGGTTAAGAGGTGGGAGAAAATTCTAAATAGCAGAACCAACGGATATGAAGGCCATGAGGCAGAAGAAGCTTTCTGTGCAGACCGACCTGCAGCAGCCAGTCCAGCAGCAGTGAGGTGAGCAGGGAGTGGGGTCAGGCACCGGGGCATACCGGCCTGAGTGGGAATATGGCCCCTGACTTTGAGAACAACAAGGCAGCTACTGAAAGCTCTTAGCGTCACCCAATGACAGACCTGGATTAATATTAGAAAGACGCTCTGGGTGCCACATGCAGAATCATGGGAGATTCTATCTGGAGGCTCTTGAGATATATGTGAGAAACTGTTTCACGCTCATTTTTTCCATGTTGACAAGCGGTCTTCAAGACTCACAATAAAAGAGCTTTTAGAAACATTTCATTTCTCCTGATGTTAAGTTAGAAAACTTTAATGTTACTGAGCTAGTGAGGGTGCTCACCCACACAAACGCACCATCCTGAAGCTCAAGATACGACAGTTAGAATGCCTTGCTTATCATCCTACAAGCTGGGCACATGTGCCAACATTACTATTAACAGGGATGCTGGCCGAGTATAATTAAACACTCTGGACATTATAACCGAAATTTAGAATCACAAAATATCAAGTTAAAAAGGACCTCTAATAACGTACAGACTCAACTCATTCCATTCCCATATACTAGCCCTGCCAGCTACTCACCCTCACTGAGAATAAAATACAAAGTCCTGGGGTGCCTGGGTGCCTCGGTGGTTGAGTGCCTGCCTTTGGCTCAGGTCGTGATCCCGGGCCCTTGGGACAGAGTCCTGGCAATAGGCTCCCCACAGGGTGTCTGCTTCTCCCTCTGCCTGTGTCTCTGCCTCTCCGTGTGTGTCTCTCATGAGTAAGTAAATAAAATCTTAAAAAAAAAAAAAAACAACAAACCAACTACAAATTCGGGATTGCCCCAACCTGACATATGACCTACTTCCTGACATGCACCCTCCTGCCTGGCATTCTAACAACATTGGCTGCTTTGCTACCCACGATTAGCCAAACACACTCCTGACCCTGCCACAGCCTGGAACATCTTCTAGCAGATGCTCTTCCAAGAGATGTCTACATGCTTCCTCCTCATTCAGATCTCTGATCACAACCAGCTTCCCTGAGCACCCCCTGCGCTCGCCCCCAGCACTGCCACTGTCGCTGATTCTTAAGTGCCTGTTCCGGATGTTACAGTACTGCCTCTGAGATCCAAAGTCACCTTCTACTCTGGTGTGTGATACAAGGACTGGGGCACTCCAACATACTGCTACTCTACTACCATCTGTTCCTCACTCTGCTTCATATTCCTTACAGCACTTACCATTCCCTGAAATATTGATGTCTGTCTCCCAGGAGCACATAAGCTTCATGAAAGCAGGGATTTTATCCTCTTTCCTTTCTGTTTTCCCAAAACATAAAGTGGTGTCCAGCACATAGTAGGTGGGCTAACATTAGCTGAGCATCTAGCTTGCACCAGACATGACTCAATGCCTTACATGTATTTCATTCACTTATTTAATCCTTGCAATTCATCCATTTGTTCAATTTTTTTAATACAGAACCCCCATACATCAGGCACTGCAGTAGGGGTTGGGATTCCAAAGTTGGAACAAGACTTATTTCTAATCCCCACAGAGGGCGGGTACCAAACCACAGGGGAAACTGATACAGAAACGAGAAGCACAAGGAACTGCTTTGGACAGTGTTGGTCTGCAGGTGGACAGGGGAACCCGTGGGGAGAGAGGTCAGTTCATGCAGGGGAGGTGCCAGGCAGGCACTGAGGGAGACATTCCCCACAGAGGACAGTGGGAAAAGACCTTCCACAAATGTCCAACCTGCAGGTCACTGTTGGAATGACCACACAATATTTGGTCCATACAAGGTTAATCCTGAGCATGAAGGGGAAAACAGGAATGCACCAGGTGGTCCCTGCACACTGAGCATCCACACTGTGGCGCTCTCAGGGCTTCAAATCACTGCAAGGGGGAGCATACCACCAGCACACAGTCAGTGTCTCCACACTGAATGTCTAGCATATGTCTATTTTTCAAGGGAATGTAAATGCTATTGTGATAAATATACAAGTATTTAAAATTGTACTGAATCTGTAACTGTAACAGCTATTTCTCCAATCTCAATAGGTTTCCCAAAAATACAATGATCGCACAAATATTGCACTGTCAATTGGAGAGGCGCCCTTGAGGTACAGAAGCTGGGGACTGCTGGTATAGCCACTGGAGGATGTTAAACAGAGGAGTCTGCATTTTGCATGGGGTCTCCTGTGGTGGCTGGCCTGGGGGCAGAGGAAAGCAGGAGCTGGGTGGTCTCAGTCTCAGCTAAGGGAAGAGACTCTGGGCTGAGGCCAAGTCAGTGAGGAGGAGGCTCAGCAGCAGATCCGGGGAAGATGTACTAGGTAACGAGGACTGGCTGGCTAAGAAGGGAAATGAGGGCCCCGGGTCCAGAGCATGGAGGGCAGAGGTGTGGAAGGACAGATGTTCAGGTGTCAGGTCAGAGATGACACATGAAGCTTAGGACATGACAGAGGAGGAGATGGAGCAACTGGAAAGAGAGTTCAAACTCTTATTTTTCTGCGATAATTTAAAAACAGCACCAGCTATATAATGGGCATTTGAAATACAGTCATCAAAAGTAATAAAGGCTTGCTGGTGACATAGCCCCTTAAAATTAAGTATCACAATAACAAATTTATTACTGTTTGGAAAAGGTTACCTATCTGGCAAATAAATTCCAAAAAAAATATATCCTCACAGGACATGCATGTAGAAATTCATCAAACTTTAATTTTATTTCCTTTATGAGGTACAGAGGGGTAATTTTATTACAGACCTCAATTTACCAAAATATTATTCAATTAAAGGAGACCAAGTTAGGTATAGGTCTAGATTAGTCAATTTACTTCAGCGAGAAAAGAGGAAAAGAACTGGGTAGTAAGTTTATTCACTGGTTAAGAAATACAAAGGATTTTTTTTTTTTTTTTTTTTAGTTATTTGATTGACCAGTATAAAGGGGCAAGTTCAGATTTGCAAAATGCCATTGACACTGTGCTTATTACTTTAATATGCAGTTAGATGCTTCCTGAGGATACAGAAGAGAAGGGATAGTATACATGATTTTTCTTTAAGAGTTATTTATCTATTTTAAAGAGAGAGAGAATCTCAAGCTGACTCACTGTTCGTTGAGTGCAGAGCCTGACACAGGGCTCAATCTCATGACCCTGAGATCATAACCTACCCGGGCTGAAATCAAGAGTTGGACACTGAACCGACTGAGCCACCCAGGTGCCCCAGTGTAAATGATTTTGTACTCTGTTTCAAAAGTTACTGAAAAGATACGGACAAAAGTTAAAGGCTACAATCTTATTTTTGCTATAAATATTACGTAGGGGCAAGTAGAGTACCTGTCCATAGTATAAGCCCAATAGCACGGAATTATCCTGTTAATGTCTGGGCTACAGATACAAACAAATACAGACCCTGTTCTCAATAAACTGCATCACAATAGAGATCATTCACAGGCTTATATAGATACTTTTACACCACAAAGGCTAAATGTTAATAAAGCCTTCTGTGCATTAACACTTCCCATTGTGCTAAGTGCTTCACAGACATTTACCCATTTAATTATCATGACTCTACAAAGTGGGTGCTATTACAATTCTCATTTTATATATGAAGCAACTGAGGCACAGAGAGGTTAAGTAACTTGCCAAGGTCACACAGCTAGTAATTAGCAGTTGTAATTCAAACCAAAGCATCCAGTCTCTGGAGTCTATGCTCTTAAACCACCACCCAGGGGATCTCTCATGTCAAAAAGGAAACAGAGTACAGAAGAAGAGAGGATGATTTCCCCGCCCCCTAGTTAATTGAGAGGAAGGTGATCTATGAACCAAATCTTGAAAGGCAGGATAAGGCCATGGGGAAACAAGAGTAGACACTCTTAGTAAGTAACAGATTGGAATCAGGAGAGAGAAGCCTATCTGGAGAACAGTCCGTGGTTCTACCTGGCTGGAGCACAGGACAGGCAGGGCAATGGTGGGCCTCTGGAGCTCATGGAAGGAATTTCATTCTGTAGCTTACAGAAGGGCTGAGCCTGATGAAGATGAATATGGCAGAATCTCGTTAGATGGAGTAGAGGGGAAAGATCAGGCAATGGAGGACAAAACTAGGCAACTGTCTCCCAACTGTTGTGTAAAGGGTTGGGGCTGGTGCATTTCTGTTAGACTGAAGTTTAAGAAAGGAGCAAGGGCAGAGCCTGGGTGGTGATCAGCTGGGACTGGAAAGAGGAGATGGATCTGAGACATAAAACTTTCAGAAACGGTACAGCATCATCAGATCCTGGAGACCAGCAGTCATCGATAGAAACAAGGGACACATAAGAAAGAGAAAATGAACTGGAAATATGAAAGAAAGAAACCATTATTAACGCTTATCCTTACAATGCAGTTTAGAAGGAGAGAAGTTATGCTCTGGAGACCAAATGTTCCATGACTGACACTTCGTTCTGAAAAAAGAAACCAGGGCAAATGGACTTTTCAAACCATTTGGTGATAAAATCTGGAGAAATGAAATTTTAAGTAACAAAGGCTGGCTCTCTAAATTCTATGATCTACTAAGGAAAAAGGGGAGTCCCTGTGACACGTGGTACAGCCCAACAGAGAGTGAGACACCAGTGCCATCTACCAACCCCACGTACTGACTGCTTTCACATGATGGGTACTCAGAAAATACTTGCTTGCATGGATCTTTGTTGACTTGATCTGACCACTTTAATCCCAATCTCCAGAGGGCCACTCGGCAAAGTCTGGTT